TTCTCTTTAACGCAATTAATGTCGTCCATCAGGCGATTGCATGCAAGCCCTGTCAGATGCAACACACGGCCACATGCAATTGAGTTACACTATCCATCAAACTCGCAACAGTGGCCTGTTCACATTACCGGTTCGATTTGGACCTCACAGTGTTACATTCTCTATTCTATTACTTTTCCAGTTTCTTGCCCGACTAATTGTCCAAACTAGAACGCGAAAACACTTTATATCTTTAAACGTATTAAATTTGTTAATACATTTAAAATTGTTCACTGAATATATGCTAAATACGTCATTCTAACTCTGGGCATATTTATAACTTTATTAATCAAGAGCATTATTAACTACAAATTTAAACGACATGATGCGCTACATAGAATATCTCATGTCTTTATACATATCTTCATATCTTTATTATTCATCTTTCATCGAAGAATTTTTCACTAATTTTCAACCGATGTTGTAATTCTTCTAAAACTTAATTTCATATATCTAATTTATCAAAAATTACAGGTGACTCGATATTCTTGGATGGACATAGTTTTCAAATACGACTTTGGAGACTCGTTAATGAAATAATACATAGTAAATTTCGAACAAGTGAACGAAACGGTGGAATCGAAAAGAGTGAACGATAACGCTCGTAAAATTTTATAGCGTCCTTCGCCAGGCTGCGCAATAAGACGGATAATACTGACGTTATCGTTAGGCACGATTTTTATTATCACTAATATTAGGCAGGATTCGATTACCAATAAAAAGGGGATATAAATTTTGTTGTCGATACACACGTTGATAACGAAGACCGGAATCGAGCGGATAATCAATCGCGTTGATCACTACGTATGAAAATGCTTGGCAACAAGTCGGAAAATGATCGTCGTTGTTTGATTGTCAAGCAGTATCTGTGCAGGACGCGCACTCATGCGAAGATAAACGTCGTGATTATACCCTATACTCCGATGATCAATGCATGTACTGGGTGTCTCAGAACTGCATTTCTTTCGTTGGCAGAATTATCGCATTTTTCTTTTCTTTGCCGAAACATGATGTGCGAAAGTGAAAAATCGAACATCGGCAATTTTTACGTTACGAATTGCAAGCTTTCAGCAAGAAGAATCGAAACATGATCGTATGTTTTGAGATCTCGAGTGGAGAAAATTTTAATTCTAAGAAAATCGTCGAAATAATCTTTCCTCTCTGTGTCTCTCAAAGCCGACGATTTACGATTGCTTACAAATCGCGCTTCCGACAGGATTCTAACCGAGAAAAATTCATGAGTTGAAAGAAAGTGCTATGTGATGTCGGGACACCCCGTGTTATTTAAAACAATCGTGGAATCGCGTCGCGGCGGGCGCGCTTCGGCGGAGTGTCAAAATAGCGACGGAACACGCCAGATAACGTCTAACTATAAGATTCGGCCCGCCGGCGGACTTGTTGCTCGCTGTATTTTATTTTCGTAAACGAAAGACGATACTTCGCCACACACTCGCCTATTTTGTAGCTGTGCCGTAATCCCTCGCGTAATGTTTACCGTGAATACGCACGGGCTCCGAAATTCTGTTCAGATGTCGCGTTCGCGCACGTTTGTGTGCGATGATGCACTTTCACGACGTCCAGAGCAGATAAAATGACAACGGACGCGTGTGGCCGTAATAGATGCAGTTATCACGTTGCATCAAAGGAACCATTCGCAGATTTTATTTATCTCTAACCATTTTCACGAAATCAAGTAAAAGGGAAACAAAAGGCAAACGACCGGGAGCTTTATTTCCGAACGAAATTTGCAATAAAGTCTGTTTTGCTACGGAAAATAAGACTTTTTGATTAAAAATGCAATATCTTCATCGTTTTATCAATTTAAATTACTCTGAATTGGATCAAAGATCTTTGGATAAAGTCTCTTTTAAAATATAACAGATTCGACATATCTTAATCGACAGCTGAATTAAAAATAAAGAAGAAGGAACAAAAATCTGAGAGATAAATTTAATTTCATTGTTTCTCGATCTTTCTTCTACACAAGAAAACGAACGAGATGACGTTCGTGAAAGAGAGAAAGAAAATGTCGGGGTTAAAATTAAAAAGAAATATCAGTAATGCCTCACATTTAATTCAGTTTTGTTTTACACGCAGCATTTTGCGCTTTCAATTGCATTTTTATTACTTCGGACTGCGCGCGAGAGAGAGAGAAAGAGAGAAAGAAACTTCCTACTTTTTACACGGAACTCCGAGAGACGGATAAGCATATCGCGTTAGGTGGTCGTAAGTCATGTCGATTATTTATTATCGGAGCTCCTCGAAATGAGACCGGGGAGAACGTCCGGCATTTCGACCGGCGCTAACTGCCGGCGCGTTATGCAAAAATAAACATGCTCAAGACACGTGCGTGCTCCTCCACCTCTCTCTCTCTCTTTCTCTCTCTCTTTCTATCTCTATCTATCTCTCGGACGATTTGCCGGACAGGATTAACTTCGAAGCCGTTAAACCGATAAAAATTACTATGTGATGCCCGCGCGACGTAACGGTGCGCGTGAATATTTAGCGGGACATCGAACTACAAAAACTACGTTTCATAACGCGGCTTCTTAATTTAATTCCACGGTGGAGAGAATATATGTGCATTTAATATGTGCATTAATAAAAAAAAGTTCAACGAGACTATCGATTATATGTAATTTTGTTGTGCGAAAATAAAAAAAAGTTTATAATGTGACACAGTTACAACTTGCGATTTACATTGCAGCGTAACGCGAGAGAGGCGGAATATATGAAAACTTGAATAATGAAACTCTAATTCGGGCTGATATATAATTATATACTGCGACCTACAAAATTTTTAAACTATTATTTTTAATTTCGAGTCACAATTCGATAATTGACGTTTCGGTGGAAGAAGGAAGGAAGGAAGGAAAACGGAGAGAGTAGAAGCATGCGCGTACTGAAATGGTATCTGATGCATTTTACAACGTGATAACGCGGTGTTGTGTACATCTCGCATAATTTGCTTATCGCGCATGCAAATTGCGGAGATACCATTTCTCTTTCTCTGTCCGAGAACTTTGCAGTGCATATGTCACATTATATCACATGAGAGAGAGGGAGAAAGAGAAAAAAAGAAGAGGGGGTGAAAGGAGGAGAGAGAGGAAGCACGTGAAAATCTAATTTGTATTAAAACGTTGTCCAGAGTTGTCACAGAAAATGAAATTTAAGATTCCCAAACTTTTTCATGTTTTCCAGATGACAGTGGAGAATTTTTTATGATCAATATGTAATCTTAAATTTTAACGTAAAAGAAGTAGGGACTGCAGAAAGGTAGCTAATATTATTAGAAGCATCACAACACTTAGAAATTTAGTAACATGATATAATCCTAAATGGAAATTCAGGCCAATAAAAAATAAACAAGTATTGGAAAAAAGAATGCAATTGTGACGAAAAAGGACGATTAAATAAAAACGCTGAATAAGATTGACCAATCATATTCGATTATTCTCTTTACGGTCGAGGAATGTCATTTTGCCTACTGCTTACGTTTTACTGCTTAAGTTTTTTCCTGTTACACAATCCTAACACGTAATAAACGATAACTGTAAAGTGCGCGATTTTTGAATGTACTTGACTATAAATGTTGATACGTAATTAATTAATAAGTAGTTCGTAAGTATTCTTTAAAATAAAAGCATTTAAGGGAATCCCGAGCGAAGTTCAAAATTCCAGGCTCTTTTATAACTTTCCCTGACTTTTCAGGTTCTCCCCGACCGACTTAAATTTCCATGACTTTTCTCAGTTCTCCCTGTTTTCCAGGCCTGTGGCAATCCTGTGTGTCGCTCATAGCCGGCGGATAAAATGAAAATTGGATCGTGCGTCAGAAGATTAAGGGGATAGACCTTTTATCGCAATATATTTGTCGCGACTCATTGACGCGTTAATCAGTGTCGAGTGCCGAGATTATCGATGAAGAATTACGCGTTGCGTTGCTATCGCGAAGAATTGTTATTCTAAATCTCGGGCGCGCGATTAACTTGCTGACGTCAGCGTGATTCGGAACGCGTTTCCCGAAACACATACGTGGCCAGTACAGGGCGATTCGGCTCGAGGCGGCTCGTCGGAAATTGGAACGTCGATGAGTTAAACGCCCTTCATTATATTATTATAACCTATCGACGGACACACGAAATTACACGTAATAACCGGCGGTCTTTTCGAAACGAAGTGAGATATTAAACATATCGACAGATATCACCGTGCAGTCGACTCGATCGTTCGACCACGAAACAGAGTAGCCGTGAGTGAAAGCCTCCTTGATCGTTCTCGACGAGCGACTACAACGGGAAAGTTCGCTTTATAATTATTATTACGATATTTATGCCGTTTCTATTTCCATCACCTAGATAGATTACGCGTATAAAAAATTTGCCACATGCGCGCGCGTGTGTGTCACCAAGGTGCTTATATGTAAATACGGCGGAATGTCGAGGATAGGTCTTACGGTCGGGATCGAACGATACACGTAATCGTCATCGCGTATGTAGTATGAATACCGCGAACTTCGAACACGTGTATGAGGAAGTGACTGGCGGTGGTAGAGTCGGGGCGTCGTGGTGGTGGGGACGAGTAACACGCGTGGCGTTACACGGCGAACTACCAACCTGATGAAGCCACTTTTACCGCGCTCCTCGACCTCAGCAGGGCGAGCAGGCGCGCGATATTTTCGCGATTTCCGAGCGTGCGTGGGGTACGTAATGACATGTAAATACTCATCATACCACGGAGTGGTTCTTTCTCATCGTCTTTCGAAATAATGAATTGAAATTCGATTCTTCCTCGACGAAAATGAGAAAGGAAGAAGAACGCCAGATTCTCGGCGCGCGACCGAACGCGATTAGTGTTTATCTCAATCGGGCTTTATTTTAACCGAGTGATCAGGGTGGTCCGATATCGCGAAGTCCGCAAATTTATTCGAGGACTCCGAGAGTGTATATGGAAAAAGTACTCACCGTTGAGACCATACTTCTCTTGGTTCCTCTTGACTTGATCAGGACCTAGTCCTTTGTCGGCATCAACGCCGAAATAATTTATTATTTCTTCCACGGATTTACAATGGGCGTCCTCCATGGTTACTGCTTCGTAGATGCTTCACCAATGTTATCCTCTTAGTGATTGTATATGTACATTCACACAAACAGTTTCTGAAAATTAATAAAATTAATATTAGTCTTATATTTATGCATCCCATAGGGCAGACAATTAAATACAGGGTAATTAAAGATATGCCATAAATTGCCAAAAAGAAAAATACCGCAACATAAATAGATCCTTTGCAATTTTGTCGAAGAGATTAATACCCTAAACACTGCATAAAGACCATATGCTTAAATAAGTAAATTAAAGACTACCAGATATTTAATACGTGCAAGATCGTCCTATACGTCATCTTTCTTTTAAAATCCCAAGTTAGTAGATACAAAATTGGTCACAAATCAATTTTTTCCATACAACCTATTCCCTGGTGCCTTCTATTATTAATAGTGAAACATAAACAGACGCGTACACAAGGTTAACTTTCAAATATAAAAATGCTCTCATAATAATCTATGCATATATACAGAATAAAACCTTAAATAACAGTCAACAAAGCCAAAATAACGAAAACACACAGGGATGAACATTTAATTTGCTTTAATTCATGACACTTTTAACTTGTGTGATAGAGAACTAAAACTTGGTAATCCCTAGTTATCCCTTTCCAAATTACATCGTCAGCAACGACGTAGTCAGGTGAGAGGAGTTTAATTTAACCGGGATTTAACGTTATCTGATGTAACGGTCCCTAACAGGATAACAGAGGGTGAAACTTCACTATCGAAGCACTCACTGGGAGCTCGCCACACAAATTTAACACGCACCGCGTACTACTACTACGGAAACGTATGCTACGCGCCAGAGAGAGAGAGAGAGAGAAATAGAGACAGAGAAGAGAGAGAGAAGGGAGAGGGGAGAGAAGAAAGAGAAATAAAATAAATTGCAGTACCAAGGACGCTCTCGCGAGGTGGAGGATCGTCCCACGGTGTTACGTTTCGGTGAGCGCGGAGTTACGAGTCTCGACGGTAGTTTCGCGCGATGAGTCGGCGGCGGCGAAGAGGACGTGGACAGGCACGACGGCGGAAGCGCGGCACGCACTTCACCGCGAGATTTTGACTCACTGCTCGAAGCGCGACGTGTGATCCGCGCAACACACACTCGCGGCTCGTGTTCGCGTTGTCACTGCACGGAGCAGGTCCGTTGCGTTGACGCACGACGACGGCTACGATTGTCCCGTTGATGACGACGTGTCAACCGGGGGAGCGAGAGCGTGTACACGAAAGAGGGAGAGGGAGAGAGAGATACAGAGAGAGGGAGAGAGAGAGAGAGAATAAGAAAAGGACGGACAGAGAAAGAGAGACGGGGAAGGGAAGGTGTGGGACACGAAGAAAGAGAGAGGGGGAGAAAGAGAGAGAGAAAAAATTACGTTACGGCCGCCGAATATTTAGGTTAGCCGCGCGGAGGCGGCGACGGCGACGACTGCGGCGGCGGTGGCAGCGCGCGTGTGCTTCTCCCGCGACGAACTTCACGGTGAACTCCACGTCCTGACGAGCACACGAGTGCACGAGTCTCTGGCGACCGAATGGAAAGCACGAAAGAGCCGTAACACACGGGTGCTGGCTGCTGCAGTGGCGAGTCGCGCGTGAGTTATCACGAGGCGCGGATGCACGAGACGCACGTCATTTTCCACGACGGTGTGACCAACGCGAATGCTAACCTGACCTCCGCTTCCGCGAGACTGGCACGGCCAAACGGGCGAATCATCGCGCGAGCGTCAGCGCCGCCTGCCGGCACGCGGCGGTATCGTGCGGCCGCGAAGCCGCGCAGCGCGAACGATCGCGCCGTCCGTCGCGCAGCAACGAGAACGATTAATCGACGATTAATCGTTGGTTAATCGCACGAGTGAGCCGCAAGGGATGCCGGCGGAAGGTCGGACTCCGCGAACGAGCCGTTTGCGGAGCGACGTGCCGCGAGCGGCGCGCGTTTTCCGCCTATCGGCGTGGCGGCCGCGCGCGTCTCGGCGACACGCGTCGTGGCGTGTCGCGCGGTTAGCGAGCATGTGGAGCGACGCCATTGGCCGAGCACGGCGTGACGTGTACGGCTATTTTCAGGCCTCTGCCAGGCTATTTCCTTGGCGCGTATTTTAAGACCGCGCGCCGGCGGGACCGGCGGCTCCGCGGCGTGTTGTTCTTACGTAACCGCGACGTCGCGGGTGATGAGTCGCCGCCGACTGTTCGTGTGTTGACCGAGGAATGGTGAGAGACTTCGATCCTTCAACTTTTCGCCGAACAATGTCCCTTCGACTGTTCTTCGGCGTTCCCCGTGACGCGCGCATCTCGCAACGCGGAAAAATAACGCGAGCCGGGAATCGGCGCGTTTCGGAATAACACGCGCGAAATTACCGAAAATAAAGTCCGGCTATTTTTTATCTATTTCGAATCTCTTACGCATGCCACCGATACGCGACGTCATCCAGGCTGGGTTTTGACGACGACGAGGGGAGGCAGACAGATTGTTTAAATATCTCACTGTCCGGGGGCGAGACGTGCGTGTATGTGCGTGTATTAGTTCGATCCGAGCGAACGAATTTGTAACTTGAATATTATTATCGCCTGACGCGCGATAAAGCTGGAATTTCTTTTGATAAAGTGAGGTTAGACAAGGACTCACCCCGGTAAATTATAATTCACGGGAAAATGCGAAGGTGTGCCCTTCGCTATCGCGATGCGATATGCATTCTTCCAGCTTTATCGTGGAGTTCCAAACATTCTTTCTCCCATTATTGCATCGGTCACGTCACTGTCGATCGACGTTCAAGATCAGCGCGCGGCACGATCTTAAAATTCGCGTCAAGTTCAAAGGTACCGTATAGGAATTGCACATGTGAGCCAAGGTTACCGTTCGATCACAGCGACTAGAGCGACTTGTCACAGTGTATATCTCGCGATTCCCGAATATCGTCCCGGCGGATATCGGTTCTTGTTTTTCTTTTCTTTTTCTTCTGGCTAAAATTAAGCACATTCGATTTATGCGAGCGATCCCGTTAAACGGGCGTCGCGAACCCCTCGCATTATGTAAGGCCGATCCCGGGGCCGCGCCGCCCGGACACTTCGCGAAATTCCCCCGTCCCACGGAGATTCATATTTCCCACGGGACGTTTATACGACCACGTGCTGCGGCGAGCGGTTAAGTATACACGTCCATAACTCTCGCGACATCCCGTCTACCGGCTCTATAATCATCGGACGTTTACTTTCCGTTACCAAGTTGCAAATTCGAAGCGGAGAAACGGCTCGGAACGAAGAGCACTCGCTTGAAAATCTTGCTAACACGTTGGCAGGGCTCCAAAATGACGTCTATAATGCGTCTAAAAGATGCCGGATATTTCGGACGTCGTTTAGATGTCTTCTGGGTATCCTTCGGACTTTCGTATTGTTTGAGCGGTTAACCACGCGGCTAATACACAACGTGTATGTGTGTGTGCGTGTGTGCAAAATCTTTCTCTCTGCCTTAACTATTTTTGAAAATCTATGATCTATGATCTTGAAAAGTTTCAAGTTTAAGTTAAAGCAATATAAAACACTCGCGAGGTATCCCTCGTATTCATGCGACCTCAACTTTCCGCTCTAATTTGCATAGCTAAAAAAACACCCGTTAATTAAAACGCTCGTTAATTGTTAACAGATCGTTAACTACGTGTATCTGCGATTCTCACGGCATCTCCTTGCAACCGAACGTTAACTCCTGCCTGACTCAGGAATTCAAGGCGAAGCTCATCACGGAAGAGCTCATCGAAATACGGGTGAGTAATTAATTGGACAATTTTAACGACGATTTGTGCGGTTTTCAAATATTCATAATACTACTCGAGTGTCGATAACGATGCAGTCAAAATGAGTGCATTTCAAGATAATTAAACTATAAATAAGAATATTGAAAAAAAGAGTTAATTATCGGATATTAATTATTTGCGTTAATTCAGGAAATCACGCGTTCGGAATAAAAGAGCCCATTGAAATACCGACGAATATAATTTAATTAAACACGGATCATGGTGTCCCACTCTCTCCCTCCCCTCCCCCCCTCTCTCTCTCTCTCTCTCTCTCTCGACGCGTTCTATAATCATCGAGCGACAACTTTCTGCGTTAGATGAGAAGATCGAAGCGAAAGAGAAAAAAAGGGATCGCGGCCGGCGCGCGAAATAATTCCGCTAAAACGCCGAGATAAGTGGTTAATTATACACGTCACACACAATTTCCCGCAAAAGAACCTTTGGTATTCATTCACGAGACTAACACACCGATCCGAAGCAGTACTCCGCGTGAAGAGCCTTAACTCTTCGCCAATATCGGGGTTCGATTTCGTCGATTTTTCTCATCAGTGCACTCACTCGCCGCCAATCCGAGTGCGTTAATCGGACCTCGCGATATATATATATATATATATATATATATATGAACGGGGAGAATTGCGGGATTTTAGCTATTCGTAAAGAACCACTAGGACGACCACAGATCTCGTCACAGATACGTCGACGAGTTGATCCGCGACGAATCTCGCACGCGACCTTCCCCAATCGACTCTACCTTCGTTTCACTACCAACCACTATCATGACTACATCGTCTTTTTCTGGTTAGATTATCGTTAGCGCTACACCGCGAACACGAAACGGGATCTCAAGCCTCCGTTTCGGCTTTCGTCCACCGGAAGTCGGTACTCTGTGTTGGGGTTGGGGGCTCGAAGAGAACTAACCCTCTGGACGCTGGCGCGGCTGGCTATCCCTCTCGACGACGGAGCGCAACCGCTCGCATCAGTTCGGCCTCGAAGGACACGCCGCGCGGTACGGGCTCGGCGACCGGTCGCGCGGTACTGCGGTACCACACTCCGCTACGGACTCCCGAGGACTCTGTCCGGACGACCAGCTCGCTCGAGCGCCCGGGACGCGACTAGCCGGCCAAATCTCGCGCGCGCCCGAGCGAACGTTTTTAGCACGTCTTCGACGACGACTTCCTAATTATTTTGGCAGAGATGC